AAAAATACAAAAATTAGCCAGGCATGGTGGCACATGCCTGAATCCCAGCTACTCAGGAGGCTGAGGCAGGAGAATGGCTTGAACCCAGGAGGCAGAGACTTCAGTGAGCCGAGGTCACACCACTGCACTCCAGCCTGGGCAACAGGCTAAAAAAATGTAGCTGGGCATGGTGGCTCACGCCTATAGTTCCAGCTACTTGAGGGGCTGAAGTGGGAGAATGGCTTAAACTTGGGAGGTCGAGGATGCAGTGAGCCAAGATCGAGCCAAGATCGCACCAAGATCGTGCACTCCAGCCTGGAAGACAAAGTGAGACCCTGTCTCAAAAAATAAACAGATAAATAAAGGAGGGAGGGCTATGTGAAAGTCAAGAGGCGCAGGAGAAGGGAGTTTCACAAACCAGGAGAGAGCCCTGCTGCCTTGCCTATCATGTTCCTGCCTCCGGTATGTTATTTCCTACCTCCAGGCCTTTACACCTGCCATCCCCTCCGCCTGTAATACCTTCCTGTCTCTGTCATGTAGACAAATGGGACTCTGCTCAGACTTTGCTTCCTCCAGGAAGCCCTCCCTACTCCTACCCTGGCAAGGCTGGGCTGGGCCCCGCCTTGGTGTTCCCATTATGCACTGTGCATACATTTATTACAGCACCACCTGCAGGAAAATTAACCGTTCCCCCCTCCCCCTGGTCAATCTCTCTTAAAGGGATGTAAGATGATTAATCGGGAGCGTCTCACCTGTCTGACAAGACTAGGGCCCACCCCATACTGTGCCAGCATTCTCTAGAGGCCTGACGTAGAGGGGATGATGACACAGAGTAGGCACCCACCCAGCCCCCTCTCCGCTCTCACCTCATGTGTCTGTGGATTCTCAACGATGCAGCCGTAGTTGAGGGACTGCGTCCTGTTAGCCTGAAAGACAGACACACCCGAGATAGTGACCTGCCTGCTCCAGGGCAGCCACGTCTGTTTTTCCTTTCTTTCCCTCCCCTACAGCACCTGGCATGCAGCTCTGCCACTGACAGGCCTTCAGCAAGGGTGGAAACTGACAGCTGCCCTCCCCCTCCCTACTTCTAAACAGCCAGAGGGCTCGGGGTCTCCACTAACACCTCCATGCCTGCCAGAGCAGCGCATCTCCCTCCTGACACCAGCTCCCACACCAACGCCCAGGGCGCCCCTGCCTCCCCAACACCCTGAATTCCAGGAAGCTCTTGGGATCACCTCCTCTACACCCTCCAGTCCTCCTGACCCCCTCACCGTAGTGCCAAGGAGTAAGAAAGGGTGACGCTGGCGTCGGTGGGCTTCCAACATAGCACTCAAGGGGAAGTCGGAGCAGACATCAGCATTAAGCACGAAGAATGCCTCGGGGCTCCCAGCCAGGATCTGGTCTCGAAAATGGTAGAGACCACCCCCTGTGCCTAGGGGGGCAAATTCCTGCAGGTACCTGTCCCCAGGGACCCAAGAGCCAGCTCAGTGGATCTTAGGAAACAGATACCATGAGCCAGGGCACCTGACCCCCACCGCCTGCTCCCAGGAGTACTCCTGCCCAAGGCCCACAGAGAAACTCTATATATTCAGGGATTCAGTGATGTCCAAATAAGAATCCTTATACTAAGTGAGGATGAACTCTGGCAAATGCTGACTCAACCCACTCCCAAGAATTCAGAGGCCTAGGGCATCCTCCCCACCCCCATAAACAAGTGTGTGCACAAACACCTGACTGGAAGGTTAAACTCCTGCTGGGCGGCTTCTAGGAACTGGGTGAGGGGCTCATCAGGTTGGTAGAAGCCAATGAGCAGAATCTCCTGCATCCCAGGGACCTGAGGAAAAGGGAAAGGCTGGGAGGAAGAATGTCTAACAGGAGGTGATGTTGGGGAAATCCTTAGGGCTGGCCCAAAGTCCAGAAACCAGTTTTAGTCTCAGCTGTGGGGTCCCAGGGCACTCACCACTCTGGGCTATTTTCTCCTCTGGACAATGAGGAAGTTGGAGGAAGTCGGAGGCCTGATCTTTTTTTGTTTTGTTTTTATGAAAAAAGGTCTCGTTCTGTTGCCCAGGCTGGAGTGCAGTGGCATGATTTTGGCTCACTACAGCCTCCACCTCCTGGGCTCAAGCGATCCTCCCACCTCAGCCTCTCGAGTTTCGAGGACTACAGCCATGTCACCACCTGCCTCAGCCTCTAGAGCAGCTAGGACTACAGCCAGGCCACCACATCTAGCTAATTTTTAAACTTTTTGTAGAGAAGGGGTCTCTCGATGTTGCCAAGGCTAGGCTAGAACTCCTGGCCTCAAGCGATCCTCCCAACTTGGCCTCAAAAAGTGTTGGGATTACAGACATGAGCTACCATGCCAGGCCTGATCTTTCAATCAATTATTATTACCCCCACCAACCAGAACTGGGACTCACTCTAAGAAAGACTTTGCCTACCAAGCTGCATTAATCCATTCCCCGCCCCCCGCCCTCATTTTTATTATCTGTCAGCCTAAGCTTGAGATCAGCATGAGGTAAGGGTACCATGTATCAAGGGTCTGTGTTGTACTAGGCATTTTACAAATGTTATTTCTAAGCTTCACCACCCAACAAAGTAGGTCTAGTCTCCCCCATTTTACACATAAGGAAACTGAGTGTCAGAGAGGGTGTGTTATTTGTTGCAGGCCTCACAGCAGGCAGAGACTGAATTCAAACCAAAACCTTGCCTGTCTCAATACGAAAAGCAATAAAGAAATGAGCATCACGGTGATCAAGGATATGAATTTGTGCCTGGTTATCATTAAGAGTCTCCATGCTATGGCTTTACATTGTCTCCAAGATCCTTGCCTGATCTCACATTCCATACTTTAAAAATAGGAGTGAAATCTGAGCAGGAAGAGGCCAGATGAGAAACTAGATTATGGGAAGACAGCAGGGCAGCTGCACAGCATAACTTGAGGGGGCGCCATTCACATTGTCATCTGTGAATGATGGTCCTTGGAGTTATGCCTGGTGGGAAGAGATTATGGTTGGGAAAGGGGGAAACATAGCATGAAGATGAGCAGGAAGTGAGGGGAGAGAGGGGAGCCCCTGAGGTTACCTGGGCACAGGCTTCAATATGATGTTGGATCATAGGGACCCCTGCCACAGGAAACAGTGGTTTGGGCACCTCAAAAGACAAAGGTCTGAAGCGAGTTCCTGGGAGAGGAGAGAGAACGTTTCGGCTTCCTGCCTTCCTCTGCCCCCATTCCGCCTACCACACCAGCCCAACCTCCTCCCCCCATTCCCCTGGCACCTCACCCTTTTGAGGGCCTCCAATCAGGATCACCGCTTTGAGCATGATGGTGACTGCTACCTAAACTTCAAATCCCAACAGAGAAATCAAGCTCAGATCTCATACCCCAACCAAGCCCCAAAACCCAAATAGCAACACTTAACCCTCTCCCAAGATGTAAACCCAAAGCTCAATATAGTCTCTGCCTGGACCCAACACCTCACAAATCCCACACATCTCAAATCCCAGCGGAGAAATCAGGCTCAGATCTCACACCCCAACCAAACCCCAAACCCCAAATAGCAGCACTTAGCCCTCCCCCAAGATGTAAACCCAAAGCTCAATATAGTCCCTGCCTGGACAGAACCTCACAAATCCCACACATCTGAAATCCCAACCCAGATTCCAGTCGGCCTTCAAACCTCACAGTGATTCCTCCCAAATTTCTGAAATTCACGCCCCACAATTTGATCTCTAAAAGACTTCGCTCTGGCCATGAACAAATTCTGCAAATTCAGAAACCTGGCAGAGACCCCCTTCTCAGACCCAAACCTCAAAATACTGAAGCCTCAAACTCACTGATTCCCAAAGTGTTGTGTCTTCATTCTAGATATTAAGCCCTGAATCCCAGTAGTGAACCCTGAATATTGAACAGCAGATCCCGAGTGGGCCTCAGATATTTAATTTAAATCCTGAACGTAACCCCCAAGTACTGAACTAACACTGATCTGAATTTGGCGAACCCCTAATCCCAGGAAAATCCTCTATATGTTGAACATGAATCCTAAAACTAACCTCTATATATTGAACCCCAAATCAAAAGACAGGTTTCCTCGGCATTTCAAACACTGAACCTATTGACCCCCCTCCAGTCCTAATACGGATGACTGGCTGGGTCTAAATCTCTGACTTCGGAGGACTGCTTGATTGCTGACCCTCTGAACCCCACAACTGACTCTGTCCAATAAACCCTGGCCTCTCATGGCCAGGGATTGTGGGACCAACACAGGCGCGGGCGCACCCACGGCCAGCCAGGACCTTGGAGCCCGCCCTCTGTCTAGAGGCTGTCCCCTGCCCCTTACCCCTTCCGCCACCCCTCCACCAGCTCCCTTTACCACTAGCTCCCTTTACTCCAGCTCTGCCGCCCGCTACTGCAAGCTTCTTCCGCGCACGTGTCTTCTCGCAAGTCGCGAGAACTCATTCGCAGGTTCTGCCGGGAATTGTAGTCTGAACTTTTCACCGCTTTCAAACTTAATGGGAGAGGAGAGCGGTGCTGAAGTCCGGGGGCGTGGCCAAGGTATCGAGGGGCGGGGTTAAATGAGAAGAAGGGTGGGGCCTGAGAAGCACAGCCTGGAACTTAAAGACTAGGACCAGAGCTGTCGGGGAATGGGCACCGCGGCAGCAGCCGAAGTGAGAAACTGGGTCCCAGAGGAAAATGGGACTAAGGACAGCAGGGGGGTGTGGCCAGCCCTGGAAGGGGCGGGGCCGGGGGCAAACAGCCACGAGGGGCTGGGGCTGGAGGCGCACAAAAGAGGAGAAGGCGGGGTCCCGGGCCCAGCCCCCGGTCCCGCTGGGAAGTGAGGGCGCCTTGGACGGTGAGGGCAACTGTATCAGGTTGACTGTCTGAAATGCAGCACGGCGCTGGGCGCTCTCCAGACTTTCCTGTGACTCCAGCAGGCTGTGACCTTGGCGTGGGGGTGTGGAATACGTGTGGGCGCGGGTGCAGGGGAGAGGGAATGGCGACGTGGAAGAGCAGAACAGACGCGGAGGGTCAGAAAGCCGCTTTATTAAGCAAGCTAGAGGAAGGCTGTGGGTCCCACCACCCCCAGGCTCGGCGCCAGGGCGGAAGGTCCGGGGGTGTCGTTCAGGCTACGTCCACGCGAGCGAAGCTCTGGTCCATGCCCAGGCTGTTCTCCACGTACACCTCGTACTTGCCGCTGTCCTGGGGTATGGCCCGGCGAATGGTCAGCGTCGTGGTGGTGCTGCCGATCTCGAAGAACACCCTGCGGAGGGGTGGCGGGGAGGAGGGCGGAGCCGCGGTCAGTACAAGGGCGCACTAGGCCGGGCTCCTTAGCCAACTCTGTTCCTCGCCGCCCAGTCCCCGCCCCCGTCACTCCCGTCAGATTTCTGGGCTCAGTCCCACCCAAGTTCCAGCCCCAGGCCCTGCCCGTGCCGCAGGTCCCAGCCCTCGCCTGTCATCCTCCTCGATGTCCTCCCCGTCCTTGGTCCAGCCCACGTCGGGCGCAGGCTCTCCCAGGATCTCCGCAGTCAGCGTCACGGTGGCGCCTTTGCGCGCCTTAGTGTTGTCGGGTCCCTTTTGAATCTTCGCCGGGACTAGCGGAAGGAAAGGGGAGCGAAACCCCGTAAAGGACCTGGAGATGAGGCAGGGCATCACTTCCCCAGCTAATACCCGGCACTAAATACAGACGTATTTAAACTCGCAGCGTGACTTTTAGCAAATCATTAGCCTCTCTGGTTTCATCTCCTTGGCTGTTAAAGGGACTTATCCCTACCTCTCCTACTTCTCGGGGTCGAATAGAGGATCAAGAGATAAGGCGGGCGAAAGCCCCGGAATGTTCACACATCTCAGAGATGTGTGAACCGCCTCAGAGACCGCTCTGGGTAGTGAAAATTGCCCAGAGTTGGGAGTCGGAAGACCCGTGTCCTACCCTGGCTCTGCCTCTGACTTGCTGTGTGACCTTGGGGACCTGGAGCCGCGTGATGGAAGCCCACAGAGGACTGCTTAGCCCGGGTGGGGCTGGATCCCGAGGTAGGGAAAGACGCACTTGGCTGGCGGCGGCGATGTGCCCAGGCCGTGCCAGGCGCTGGGCTGGCAGGGACCCTATAGCTAGGCCCAGAGGTAAACGCGCAGCTGGACCGGGCTGCGGGCTCTGGCTGGTCTGCGCCCTGGCGCTGCGCCCGGGGCGCGCGTACCTTCCACGAGGATGCGCGCCGAGTCGGAGCACTGGCCGAAGGGGTTGGTGACGTTGATGCTGTACTGGCCTAGGTCTGCCAGCTCGCCGTCGCGCACCACCAGTGCCACCACGTCAGGGTCCTCGAAGACGTAGCGGTACTTGGGCCCGTCACGTAGCTCCTTGCCGTCCTTACTCCAGCGGATGAATGGGTCCGGGAAAGCCGAAATGCGGCAAGTGAGCTTGGCCGCGCTGCCCTCAATCAGCACCACGTCCTTCAGCGGCTCCAGTACCCGCGGCGGCCCCTTCTCGCGCAGCTCCTTCCGGGACCTACCCCCGGGCCGAGTCAGGGTCCAGAGCTCCCAAGACAGGCCCGGCCGCAGCCCTTTCAGAGAGTGCACCATCTCCTGCCTGCCCCCTGGGCCCGCCAGACCGCTAAACGTGTGGCTTGATAGGGAAGAGGACTGCTCCTGAACTGCTGCCCTGATAGGATGATGCATTCCTGCCGGCCACTCCTCCACATCTCAGTAAAGACCCTCCCCTAAAACCAGTCATTCTAGAGGCTGCTGAAGCCCCTCAGCCCTTCCCCAAAGCCCATTCAAGAATGCGCTCTCTGCAACTCCCTTCCTCCACAGAGCTCCGGGGTTCCCTCTTACCTGTGGCCTCGGTAAGAGGCCTGGATGCGAATGGCCGCACTCTGGACCTGTGGGTCATTGATGTCCAGGGTACATCCAGGAGGTGGGGCCGCAGCCACTGACTTTTTGGCAGGAGCTGCTTTAGACATCTGGAGAGTGGGCGACAAGTACGGGGGTCCAGGTTGAGACAGAGGGTCCCACCTTCAGCCCTTTTCCTCCATGGTCAGAACATTCAAGGGGGTGGAAGAATGGGAGTGTCTGCGGCTTCTCTGAGGATAGGACTTACTGTGGAGGGGTTGACCTAGGGACTTGAGTCGCCTGGCTGGATTGCAGGCAACACAGAGCCCTTCTGGATGGCACAGTAGGGGTGCAGGCAGGGTGCTCAGCCCTGGGCTCGGTTTTATACATCGCTCCCCTCCTTGCCTTGTTTGGCGTGGTTGCCCCAAGCCCCCCGGGACCCCATCCCCCTCCCTCTGACCCAAGCAGGCTCTTTATTTAGCCTGCGGCTGCCTGGGATGCTGGCTCAGCCGCTGGGCTAGGCCCGTGGGGGGAAACCCGAGCGGCTCTGGGGTGTACCTCGTGTCGGCACCTGGACAACTGGACAGCTGGATGCTGCCCTGTCCCCTCCCAGGGCAGGGGGTATCCATCCCACTCCCAGGAGGACCAGATTCAGCCCCTAGCTGACAAGAGATCCAGCTTCCTACTGGGGCAGTTTTTCACTCAGGTTGGGCTCTGGATAGTCAGACAACACACCCTGTTGGTAAGGGGTTTGAGTGTTTTGGGGGTGTCCCTGAATAAAGCCAGAGTAGCAACGGGCTTGGGCCTCAGGGCCCCTACAGCTAATGGCAACAGGGCCACGTGGCTGTCAAGACCAATCCAGAAGCTCCTTGCTCTTACCCTATCCCCAACCCCAGGAGTCCAGGGTTGTCACTTCCACACTGTGTCCCCTGGTGGTAAACTGAGATAAACCGGGAGGGGACGGGAAAGATTTTTTGAGAATAGCAGCCCCTCCATGCCATCCCTATCCCCACTCACTCCCCTCGATGTCACATGGTAGGGGCTGTTTAGACTGCACTGTCCTTGGAGATTAGCACCACTAGTGGCTCCAACCCTAGGTCTGCCCAAGTCCTTTTTGGGGGCATAAATTGGTGCATCGGGGCATCAGACCACCTGGGGTGAAGGGGTTCAGTTAACCCCTCTGGGGCTTGCCTGGAGGCCAATCTGCCCAGGCTGGGCACCTGGCAGAAGCATTGCTTCCATTCATTGGAACTACCCGCCCTAGTGTGGGGGCACTGTCACCTTTTAATCAGAGCAATTTTGACATAGCTCTGCTGACATAAATTACCTTTGCTCCTCTGGGTTTGGAACAAGCAGTTCACATGCCATTTCCAATGGAGATGGGAAGGGAGCTCAAAATCAGAGGGGGGACGGGAGAGAAATTTTACCATTTATCAAGATACGAGTTCAGGCACCTCGTTTTTATACAAAACACTTGCAGTGTGTAGGGGATTGGAGATTCTCACAGGCAAACTGTGTATCTTCATCGCTAAAATGACAGGTAGGCAAGGCATTGTTCTGGTCCCTTCCAACTGGCTTTAACATCCTGTTATTTTATGATGATGAGGATTGCCTCTTCCCTGGGGTCCTGAGAAGCTAGAGAGGCTGGGCTGGGCTGGGCAAAAGGGTTGTCTGAGCTGGAGTCAAGGGGCCCTCAACCTCTGTCAGCAACACAGTGGTGTCAACTCTCTCTACCCTGGTCAGAGGCTTTGTTCCTTTTACTTTGCCAAGAACAGAATTTTGAAGGTGGGGATGAGGGGAGCATTTCCTCTGGAGGCAAGGAGATCTGGGTCCCCGCCAACCCCCCAACCCCTCATCCCCAACCTCAGGGCAGGGCAGCTCAGTCCTAGGTCCCAGTGACCATTCTATGGCATTGCAAGGTTGTGGCTAGAATCGTGGTGCTTTAGCACCCAGCAGACCTAACTTGCCATGCGGACAAGAAGGTCCAGGCTAGTGTGTCCCTTAGTCCTAGGAAAATGCTGGACACAGCAGACTAGAGCACTCCCATCTGGTGCTCTCCATGTGCTCTGATTTGTGCTGTGACATGGAGGGTGAGGGGCGTGGGCCTGTCCTAGTGTTTCTTTTTGAGATGGAGTCTTGCTCTATCACCCAGGCTGGAGTGGAGTCGTGTAGTCTTGGCTCATTGCAACCTCCACCTCCCAGGTTCAAGCAATTCTCCTGCCTCAGCCTCCTGAGTAGTTGGGACTACAGGCATGCGCCACCACACCTGACTAATTTTTGTATTTTTAGTAGAGATGGGATTTCACCATGTTGGCCAGGCTGGTCTTGAACTCCTGACCTCAGGTGATCCAGCCACCTTAACCTCCTTGTCCTGGTTTCTTCTGCAGCTCCTCACACTACCTACTCTTGCCAACCATCAGGATGAAACCCACTCTGCTCCAGGGGTCAGGACCAGAACTGCTGCCTGTCTTCTGGGCAGAGTGAATGAGGCTGAGCCAGGATTGGGGTGAGGGCTGGCCTATTTCAGAGCCCAGCATCCCCCACGTTGTGATGAGGGAACATGTGACAAGAGGTGGCGGCTACCAGAGCCTGGTTGCAGGGGTTCAGTGGATCTGCCAGCATTCCAGAAACTGCAAGCGGAGAAGCAGACCACAGTCTCCCCTCCCTCCAGGAATAAGGAGAGGTGAGGGGCCAGGAGGGTCAGAGGAGGGGGTTGGAAGGACCCAAAGTGCTAGCTGGTATATCCTGGAATGTGTGTTGGGGAATGCCCAGAGAGGGCTAAATGCCCCTGTCCCGGACTCAACCCTTCCCAGCAATCTTCCCCTCCAGCCATCCCTCCCAACAGACACACAGGTTATGCTGCTTGCCATTTTTATTTCCTTGTGACAGACAGACAGACAGCTGGATGGCTGGGAGGGATGGTCAGGACAACATGGGCAGTAGGGATCGGATGGAAGGGGAAACTTCATAAAAGTCAATAAATAAATAAATATGAATGGGAAGAAGGCCAAAGGCCATGGAGGGGTGCTGGGGACATCCTTGGGCCAACAGAGAGCGCCCGGGGCTGTATCCACTGGACAGGAGGATACAGCAAGCTGAGTGACTGCTGGCCTCCGGCTCTCCATGTTTCTCCTCTAAGGGATGCTGACAGCTGGCCCACCCCACCTCCACCTGAGTCCTCTCTTCTCCCTCCACCGCCTCGCTGCCTTCTCTTACGTCCCAGCCCTGGGCCCTTGCCACTGTATCTGTGTCCTGCCCCTGCTTTGCCATACTGACTCCCAGCCTACTGCCCTGACACCCTGGGTTCCTTCCTCTTCCCCCTCTCCAGCCATGCCCATCTTCCTTGGTTCTCCCTGAGATGCACTGATCCCCAATCCAGAACCTTCCTAGAGCCTCCTCCTTCCTGTCCCTCGACTTCTTTTCCTCTCCACTTCCCCATTCCCCTCTTGTCCCTCTGCCTGTTCCCACCCTGCCCAGCCTGGCCAACGGGTCTCCCACTCTGGCTTTGGCCTGGGGTGGCATCAGGTCGAGGCCCTGGGGTCTCTGTCCTTGCAGGTCTATGAGGTAAGAGCCCGGCCAGATGCTGCTGCTGGTGGTAACCGAAGCCCCAGGCCCGCCTGGCTCAGCGTGGGCCCTGGAATGTCCCGTGGCATTGGTGGGAACCCCAGTTGAAGCCCGAGGCCTGGCTGTGGTCCGTGCCTCTAGGGGCCGCCAGGGTAGGAGCGCAGCAGCACCTTGTGGCGGGTGGCGGCCTCAGCCCGGCGCCGCCTCTGCTCACCCAGGAACTCCTTGAGCCGGTTGGTGGTGAAGGTGAGCGTCTGGCGGCGCAGTTTCATCAGGTAGGCGTCCTGCAACCATGGGTGGGCCAAGCAGTCCTGCAGGGAGGGCCGGCTCCTGCCAGGCAGAGCCAGGGATAATGAGCCTGGAAGGATGGCTCTGGGAGTTGCCAGGGCTCTGTCCTCCTGCAGACCCATGTCCCAATCCTGGATCCACCCCTACATGTGTGATCTTGGGCAGCTCAAGAGCTCAGTTCCCCAATCTCTGGAATGGGGGCAGTGATTCCGCCTTGCATGGGGTTGTCGCAGGCTTTAAATGGTAGGTAGTATGACCATTTAGTAGAAGCAGCAGACTTCTTCCTAAGAGCAGGGGAGGAGCTGGGGAATCTCTGGCACAGGCCGGGCCGGGGGCAGGTGACACTGGGAGATGGCAGGTGTGGGGCTCACTCACCAGGGATGTACTGAGAGGACCTTTCGCAAGAAGAGGGTGGCGCTCTGGGATGTGTTGGGGTATAGCTGGAAGGCATCAAAGCGGCCCCCCACAATCCGAGCCTCCGTTTCCTGGGGGTCTGGCTCATAGAACGGGGAGCGTCCACTGAGCCTGTTGGGGAAGATTGACTGACATAGGCAGACTAGAGGCCAACACCCAGCCCCGGAAGGACATTAGTGTCGGGTGCACAGTGCTCAGGGCCATGCTGCTCTGTACCTGAGTGTGAGTGTGCGGTGTGATGTGTGTACAGGGGAGGTGGGGCATGGGGGAGAGGGTGTTGGCAGAAGGCGAGTCCAGGAGCTCACTGTGTGGGCAGAGAGGGCTGTGGCAGGTAGGGGACACTCACATAATGTAAGTGAGCACACCCGCTCCCCAGATGTCCGTGGCAGAGCCGATGGGTTCTCCCTTCACCATCTCCGGAGCTGACAGGAGACAGAGGCCAAGCTGACCCAGCTTCCTGGTGGCAGGGAAGTGGGGGCGGGGGAGGTCCCTGGGTGCTTGAGCAGCAGGACAATGCCCAGGTCACCAGACCATAGGAATGACCAAAGTGGCAGGCCCTGAAGCCCAGTAGGCAGGACAGAGGTGGTGGCATACCCCAAGAGACATATGGGACACCTGAGGAATTAGCCTGGGCACAAAATGGAGGGGGTCCCCAGAACTCCAGAGGGGCTGAGAAGCAGGGTGACAAGCTCCCTTGGATTAGCTCCAAGGTATGGCTCCCATTCACAAAGAGTGTGGCTGACACCAAGATTAAAAGCCTTCAAAATCAGCCTGGCTGGTTCTAATCCTAGACCTGCCCCTTCTAGCTATGGAACCCTGGGCGATTTACTAAACCTGCCTGGCTCTCCATAGCCTCGTCTGTAAA